TCCTTGTCATCTTGTACCTTCATCTTGAAGGTACTTCATCTTGATGAAGTACATCATGATCATCAAGCGCTCCAAACTACAAGAAACATATCACCTTATCAATCGTATTTTCCCCGGCATCCATTTCACCAAAGAGAAGGAGAACAATGACCAGTTGCCATTCTTGGACGTGCTAGTCAAAAGACATGCTTCCGGGCCCCCTGGGAACAATAGTCTGTCGAAAAGCAACTCACACTGATCAGATCTTAAACTATTGCAGTAACCTTCCGGCCATTTACAAACGCAGTTGCGTCAGGACACTTTTCAAACGGGCCCAAACATACTGTAGCACGTTGCAACTGAGGAAAGCGGAGGAAGACCACATATTTAACATGTTTCGGCGGAATTCGTACCATAAAAGTTTTATGCTACGCTGCCTGATGTCGAAGAATCAACCACAACCCCTTCCACCAGCGCGATGGGAAGGAAAACCATCGTCCTACCTTATATGCATGGGATTTCTGAAATGGTAGTGAAGCTTTTAATGCCTCACGGGATTAACGTTGCACATGAAGCAACGGAAACCGTTCGGAATAAATTTTTTAGGGTAAAGGACTAGCTGAGTAAAGGAGAAACATCAGGTGTAATTTACCAAATTTGCTGCAAAAATTGTGACAAGTACTACGTGGGCCAGACAGGGAGAAAACTTGGTACAAGACTGCATGAACACAGTCTGGCCATCCGCCACGATGATGAAAAGTCACTAATGTCAGTACATATGGATGCCGAAGACCATCAGTTCGATCTGGGAAACGCCAAGATACTTGGTAGGGCGAAAAACCGCAGAGCGCGTAAGTTCATGGAAGCCTGGCATTCGAGCCGGAACTCAATCAACAAGCACCTGGAACTAGAGGGTGTCTACGAAGCTCTGCAGATGGTGACAACCATAAATACCACATCGACAGGGCGAAGGCGCAACCACTTGACCGACCCACGTGAGCGAATCGAAGACTGACATTCAAAGCAGGAGCCGATCAATATTCACTTGGATCTGGCAGTGGCTTACAAGGCTCTGCGTATCAGACCCTAATAGCCGCACTGAGTATGTTGCTTAGGTTGGCAATGAAACGTCTACAACCAAATTACCCCGCTCGGAGAACACGTCAACCCTCTCAGGCTAGTTACTTTCGATTATAACCGCCTTCTTAGCTTTGCTCTTCTCTAGTGGAAACATCGCGGGAGTGATGCTCGTGTTTGGCATCGCTTATTTCTGAAGTAAGTGGATGTGAGCCTCTCTGCATCATTGTTTTACGCACTAGGCCTCGATTGCTGGGTTGCACATGTTGTGCATATTAACACACCGATTCCCGCCACTTGCGTTGTTTGTTCGACAGGGGTGTGTATGGAAGGACGGAAGACGCTAAGTGATAACCTTTTCAAGTGGAATGAAGACACATTTCGATATTGGTCTCCCAACTGTCGGGCTGGAGTCAATATATGTGGAACATGTTTGGTTAAATACGCTAGTTGCCATGGTGAATAATCGAACTCAATGGCGTTTGTGTTGTAAGTTTCCTTGTCCCTCCTTCCTGTCCATCTTCCACTCCAACCACATTTTCACTCCAGAGGCCAGTATGATACCAACCAGTATATTGTCTCCTATTTTGTACGCTATTGTGGTGCGGCACAATAGCTGGGGTATTTCTCACATTTAGCTGACGTGTAATAATGATGACTACTCATCATCGCTAACGCGTCTAAGTCGGCTGAGGTCACCACGGCGGAATGCTGGGTGACCAAGTACTTCTGGAGCAACTGCTGTCATTGCAATTTGATGAAGGTGAGCAGGAGAGCAATATCGTCTCGGCATTAAGCCAAAGGAACCCTCCATCCTTCACCCTCTCAAGAGTGGGTACCGAAACGAAGAGGAATGTGGACGCATCCTGCGACGAACCCCGCGCCTCGAAGGCGTGTCGTTTTACATGTTACAAGACCTTTCTCCGAAAGATCGGATTAAAATGAAATTTGGCTGTTGCGGAGCTCCGAACACACCTAGCAAATGGTGAAGTAAACCTCTATGTCGTTTCTTTCCGCGTAATTCGGAAGACACCAAGTGTCCTTTTTAAGTTAATTCCCGTCAGCCTCGGGATAGTAAGGCATAAAAGTATAAAAACCCAAACTCAGGAATAAGCTGAATGAGAATCAGTTGTTTACCTCAGATACTCCTACAGACCTGATTGTCTTCACCGAATCTTGGCTATTCCCAGACATAAGGGGCTTAGAAGTGTCTGTCTTAAGGTATCACCTCTCCCGGTCCGATCGCCACTGAGATAGGTCCGTTGTTGGTGTAATACTTTATTGATAGGCGGATCTCGAAGCGCATTTAGCTGAAGCTATCAGTGAGCATGATGGAAATTTCGAAGCCCTATGATGCCGTGTTCATGACGGATAAAGATCTCTCTTGGTCGCTATCGTATTCTGAGTCATCAGATTCTGGAGTTTGCTTGTTCGCTTTGGTCAGGATGCACGATGGAAGAATGGGCTGTCTAGTCGTGAGAAATGTCAATGCCCCTGATGTTGATTTGGACCTACTTCTTGATCGCGTATCTGACTTCTTTGATATCATCTTATCCTAAACCGTCATTGACTGCAACATTTTTCAACATGTCATGGTGACCACTCTTGTTTTCCCACACCAGACACCGCACATCATAGATCTCGTGCTTTTCACGGCAAGGTCAGATGTCACTGACCTAACTGCTCTTCAACCGATCGGCACACGTGATCATTTTGTTGTCTCATTCCAACGGACACGCCGCCCACGATCCACAGTGTGTATGGTTGCTGTCAGTACTTTGTCATGGCTGCTGATTGCTGCCACTACAAGACTGTCAGAAATGTTTGCGTCGCGCCGAAAATTCTGTAACGTCGACCTGCGAATTGTCACTGGCGGAACACTAAAACAGCGCCCAAGATACTCTCCTCGTATCTGAGAAGAAACATCGGAGTTAGCACTGGCATCCCTTCCTTGTGTTGATGTGAGCATATGGCCTTCACAATGACGCTGAAGAAGCTAATCTCTTATCCCAGCAGTTCTCTCCTATTTACGCGAAACACCATTCTGTGCCAACGTTCTATCCACTCTTCTCTTTTGGATCTATTAGATATTAACACCGATGCTATGCTGGAACCTTTTTTAAAATTTAGATTCGTACTTTCCACCAGGTCCTGATGGATTTCACCGATTGTTCCTCAGGACTGACAACGTACGTTACCGCACCTCTGTCAATTGTTTCGTCGCTCCTCTTAAACTGGACGTCTCCCGTTGGCTTGGGAAGTGAGCATCGTCAAATCCATCTATAAAGGAAGGAATCGGCTAGGTCTTGCTAGTTATTGTCCAATCTATTTACCGTCAATAGTGTGCGAAGTTATGGAACAGATCTTGTAACGAGCTCTTCATCTTCATGATGAGAAACTGAATGTTATCTTTTATGCCTAGTATAGTTTTCCAACGGCGTGCTCATGTACGTCGAACTTGTTGGTTGCTAAGTGGAAATGGGCAAAGTCGTTAGATTCCGCCATGCGCTTGGACATTGTGTTTGTTGATTTCAGCAGTGCCTTTGACATGGTCCCGCATGAGCGGCTTCTGTGTAGGCTCCGAGGGGTCGGTATCGCTTTGAATCTTCTCCCTCGAATCTCCTATTTCCTAGACCACACCATGCAGGTGAAAGTGAAGGAAACCATTCCCGCTCCTGTTCTCGTGTGCTCTCATAGCGTTCTGTTCTCAGCCCCGAACTTTTTGATATCTTAATTAAGAACCTACCCTCCGAACTGCAGACGGACTGCTAACGACCTGTTATGAATTAAGTACCTGTCCTGGAAGATGTTGACAGATTACAATCAACGCTCGACCTGTCTACCATCGGTCGATAAGGTGACAGTTGCTTATGAAACGTGACATATGTTCTCTTCACCCAGTTGGTGAGTCTGACCCATTTGGAGCTTGCCATCTTTGTTGCGCCTTGCTCAGAAACGCCATACATAACAGAGATCTTAAATTATTAGTGTCCTCAGAACTCAAATCTATTCAGGGCACTCAAAAGAGAGTCGGCGCGGCCTACAGTAATTCCTGCATGACACCAGACATCCTCAAACTCCTGTTTGCTTCTCATGTACGCCCGATTCTCGAATAAGGACTACCTGCCGCCCATCCTCCTACCAAGTCCGAATGTGATATGATTGTGAATGTGGATCTAAATCATCCTGTGAGCTGCGGAGTTTATCTTATCCTCTCCAGCTTCAACGATTGGATCTGTTCTCCATGCATTACCACCGTTGCCACGAAGATTTGATTTTCCCAAGTGTTCTTTCATTTCAATGCTGAGGGTTCGACACGAGGTCATAGTTGGAAACTATTCATGCCGAAGAGGCTCTGTGCGCGGTCTATTCTGGCTTTATCCATTCGCGTAGTGAATGCATGGAGCGGCTTATCGATGCGTAGACGGAGGAACGTTTCAAATTACTGTAAGCTTCTCATATGCGTATGCCGGGATGTTGCTGCTTACGATGCAGCCGCAGCGGTCCTCTGCGGAACGCCGTTTCGCAATGATCGGGAAATGATGGAGCCGACAAATTACGCTCCTTCTGCTCTCTAGTATCCAATGGTCCCATGAACTCCCTGTGGTTACAATCATGTTTATGCGCACTTGATCGTCTCTGGCCGCACAGCCTGGTGACTGGACAAACGTCTTTTGTCGATCTGTTTGTTTTGCTTTTTTTCGGAACACCATCTGGAACCCGCGTTCTCGAACCTGCTACACAGGACCGAGCCGGACAGTGTCTTCTCCTCTCCCATTTACATTCCCATTTCTTTTGCGACGCTGTCATACTATCCGTCTCCCGTGCTTTTCCTCACCATTCAACTGAGACTCTTGATCCTTGCTTTGCATCTAGCTGATCTCTTACCAGGTGGTTGTGATAATTCAATCCAGCCACCCACCAGGTGTTTGTTTTGCATTACAGCCCCCAAGTGTATTACGATTTACGTACGCAGTGCACACGGGAGCCAACGGAATTCTCGACCGGACGTATACTACATTTTTCGTCGTTCGACATGCAGGTCGGAACTGCAACCTCCATACTAAATCCAACTTTTGAGTACTTTAATAGTCATGGGACTTGGGTTACTTACATACTAATTATCGTCCTTGGACACATCATACTCTTGTGCATACCTTTTATCACCACCGCCATGGTATGGACTCTGACTTGCAGCATCCACAATGTGGTGAGTCATATTACAGGTTTTCCTTTTATTCATTTGCTTTGTACTCTACATTATGCACGTCAGGGTGATGGCCAGCATGTCCTTTGTTTCGTCGGTTTTCGTTTTTGCCCTTAGCTGCCATCTTATGAGACCCGTAACTTTCACATTATTTTCGCTTTTTACTGCTATGTCGTCTGTCATGTGGTACGGTACTGCTCAACGATACTGCTGTGGACGTCAACTTCTGCCACCTTCTTATTTGTTGTGGAATAGTTACTTAATTGTATCACTGATATTCCAGCTCACTTGTCTCTGTGTGTTGTTCTTTTCTGCCCTCGTCATACCCCCTAAATGCGCGGTGAAACTTGGCAGCTTTGAGGTTTATTGCGCCCAGGTCGTGAACTATCAGATTCGATTCATCACGAGTAACCGATGGATTACCATTGAATGATTGCTGTCACCTTTCCTTTTCAACTTCGCTATTGACGAAGTCCTGGAAATCACGTTCACAGGACACGACTTAGAAAGTGTGGAGCTGCTCCCAGGTGAACGACTTCTTGACTTGAAGTATACTGACGATATTGCCCTTATTTGTGACAGCTCCCAAACGTACAAAGCGGCACTGGACAGGTTAGCACTGGCTGTCACCCGTTTCGGGCTATGCTTTGCACCCTCAAAGTGCAAATCTTTCCTCCAAGATTGGCAGGGACCGCCTCCTTCGCTGACCTTCGGTGGGGATCAGCTATAGTCGTTCAAAAGTTTAACTACCTTGATAGTTGTATCAGCGCCGTTGGAATTGAAGAAGAGGTCACCAACCGTATGACAGAAGTTCGAGGCGCTATTGCTAATCTTCGTCACCTATGGCGGCGGCGCGACATCACTCTCTCCCTGAAGGGTAGAGTGTACAATGCAGCGGTACGTTCGACCCTACTGTACGGTTGTGAAACTTGGTCCCTTAGATCAGCAGACATAGAGGTTAGTTACGTTCGACCACCGGTGCCTTCGCAGTTTGGCTCACATCTGGCGGAAACACCGCGTGAGCAACGAGCGTGTTCGACGCCTTGTTTATGGCGCAGGAAGAACGAACGAACCGCACCACACTGTTATTTCACGCACCAGGCTCCGATGGCTCGGTCACGTGTTGCGCATACCAGCCTACCGGCTCCCGCGACGTGCGTTGTTTGCGCACCGGGGTGTGGATGGAAGAAGAGGAGGGCTGGTCAAGTGATGACTTGGTCGAGGGGAATGAAGGCCCTTACTTCGAAGTTGGCCTCGGTTGGAGCCTCTCGGCTCCGTGGTTGGGGCTTGAAGGACGATGAACACATTTGGTTAAATACACTTGTTGGCATGTCTAGGAACAGACCTCAATGGCATTTTATTATGAGTTCCTTTGTCCATCACCCTCCGCTTAGCCTCCTCCAACCACGATCTCAATTAATAGGCACTATATGACTTTGCGGCACAATAGTCGGCTGTTAGCTCTCCGGAACGGTGTCCTTCCGTTACTGGTGACTCACCTGACGTACCTGTTTGTTATTTTCTTTTCTTTTGTATTGCGGCACCATAGCTGAGGTGTTTTCCGCCTGCAGCTAGCGTGTATAATGATAATGATGGCCGTTGAATGATTGTTTAGATGCTCTGGTCATCTAAGTATCGGACGAATTTAGGTCGCTTCGAAAACGCCCACAATAACCTTCGCGTACACACTGAACTCACCCTTCCTGGTCGCAGATAGCGTCCACGCTGATGGCAACTGGACTCCAAAAGCATGATAATTCAGCTTTGCTTTATTAAGGTTACGCTAGAGATTTTATAGTGATTGATTTGTGTCCAAAGTTTGTCTTTCTGTAAAGGTCAGAGACGCTTACACCGGCCATTTACATTGACTGGATTTCATTGAAATGAACTGATGTATAGGCCGGTGGCGTTGACAATGCATTACATTACATTGTTTTCGTCCCTCTGCAAGTGATCGATAACAGTCTACGGTATGACTGTTGAAATTCCATCTATGCCGATAGAAATGCGCTATTCTGAGCTCCTGTTTTCGAAATACACATTCACTACCGCCTACAGACCAGCATACTAGCAGTAGTATTACCGTGCTTTATTAGTGTACTTATAGATTTCTAAGGTGTGCATCCAAGAGATTGCTACTTGAAAACTGTTCAGCACATTGTTCACGATAATGTCAAGTTGATGACATGCTCGATTCAAGCACGGGGGCAAGAAACATTCCTTTAGGCTTCAACTGTCTCTTCTCACATATACAAGGTGTTTTATTAATCATATCTGGAGCTAGGAGCGGCTGTACTCAGATGCTAACGTACCCCGGTACGCTGAATTGCTAACTGTCCAAATACGCAAATTGCTTTGCCGGCACAGAGGCGCGACATGTGTGTCTACGATCGCAGGGCACACCGAGCCGTTCGGCTGGGAGAAGTGACCGTTAGCAAACACCACAGCTGCAATCGACCTTTCATGCAAGACAAAGGGAACACATGCCGTTCGGCTGTGAGAACTGAACATTGGCCAGATATCACATCCACAAGGAATGCGTCATGCCTCGACCACAGGACAAGACCAACGGAACGCAATCCGTTTGGCTGTGAGAATTCGACATTAGCCAGACACCATAGCCGCACTGAACGTATCATGCTTCGATCGATCGGTAGTCGGCTTACACGCAAGTGAGAAAGCCAGCAAAAGGGTTCCTTGCGAAGTGGCTAGTGGGTCGCTGTGCTAGCAATTGAGAAAGACAGCCTGGCCGTATGTGATGACCGGTCGATGGGCGCCGTATTGCTATCGCCACGAAAGCTCGTATCGCCTCATAACTGGCTTCCAACAAACATGTAAGCTTTTATTACGCTGCTTTCGCTGCTAAAGGGAATCATACTGCCGGGAACACATTTTTAAGGTTACAATGTTGTTCGCTTTACCGTTTCCATCGCGTGTGTGTTACAGCTGAAATTCACCCTTCATGGGTGCGTAAAAACGAATTTTTGGCTTAATGTGACAATACGCTTAGATTTCAGTCTGCCTCGACGCACTGGTGGCACCATTCGACAGCATACCAATTTAGTCATGCATGGAACTATTGCCCTCACAGTCAGACAATTGCTAGTTGTACAAATTGATCAGGCCTTCGATGGTGTTTCCCGTGTACAATGGATGGTATACATGTATGCATTTCCTTATTTCTATTTACATGAAATGTGTGAAATGTCTGTAACTCTCAACAAATTAGATGTTTGAGACATCATACAAACGGACGGCCTTGCACCGTCACGTATTAAGTATCAGCTTGCACGGTTGCGCAAGTTGTATGCAGTAACAACCATCTAGGCGTTCGGCAACTCGCACAACATTGCAAAACCACACCGTATGCTGTGCATCGGATATTGAAGAGGAAAAATTCCGGCGGTACAGTGCACTGCAGGTGCAAGTGTTGAACGCATGCGATGCACAGAAGCGCCTGGAATTCGCCCGTGCGTTTTTAAACAATGGACCTGCATTCCATCTTGTTCACCGATGAGGCCTTGTTCCCTCTGCATGGGGAAGATACGCAACTTGTTTGGGCAACAACCAACCAACGGCAATGTAGCGCTTCATGTATGCAACATAGCGCGAAGTTCATGGCCTGGGCTCGGTTCACTGGTCGAACAGTCATTGGGCCCTTTTTATTTGCCAGGAGTATGTCTGGTAGGTTGTTGTTTAACAGTACCAATGGCTGACATTTCTTAGCATCCTCGTACATGGAAATGTTGCAGGGCAGCGTCATTCCGCAGCTATAGTCGGAAGGGTTAATGAATGACTTTTGGTGGCAGCAAGATGGCGCACCTGCACATGCGGCGAAATCGGTTCGTTCCTACCTGAACGAAACATTCGGTGGACGTTGGATCGGTCGCGGAAGGCTGATAGAATGGCCTGCGCAATCACCGGATCTGAATCCCATGGATTTTTCCTCTGGGGATACTTGAAGCGCTGAGTTACTAGAACGAAACCCAAAGACCTGGATGAACTGCAAGGGAACATTGTGAACGAATGTAGGCAGATTTTATTGATGAGATTGCATAAATTGCATGTCAACACCATCCGACGAATGCTTCTCTGCAGCCAAGACGACGGAGGGCACCTCGAACATCTAATTTGTTGAGAGTTACAGACATTTCACACATTTCATGTAAATAGAAATAAGGAAATGCATACATGTATCATCCATTGTACACGGGAAACACCATCGAAGGCCTGATCAATTTGTATAACTAGCAATTGTCTGACTGAGAGGGCAATAGTTCCATGCATGACAAATTGGTATGCTGTCGAATGGTGCCACCAGTGTGTCGAGGCAGACTGAAATCTAAGCGTAGTCACATTAGGCCAAAAATTCTTTTTTATGCACCCATGAAGGGTGAATTTCAGCTGTAACACACACGCGATGGAAACGGTAAAGCGAACAACATTGTAACCTTACAATGTGTTCCCGGCAGTGTGATTCCCTTTAGCAGCGAAAGCAACGTAATAAAAGCGTACATGTTTGTTGGAAGCCAGTTATGAGGCGATACGAGCTTTCGTGGCGATAGCAATACGGCGCCCATCGACCGGTCATCACATACGGCCAGGCTGTCTTTCTCAATTGCTCGCACAGCGACCCACTAGCCACTTCGCAAGGAACCTTTTGCTGGCTTTTTCACTTGCGTGTAAGCCGACTACCGATCGATCGAAGCATGATACGTTCAGTGCGGCTATGGTGTCTGGCTAATGTTGAGTTCTCACAGCCGAACGGCTTGCGTTCTGTTGGTCTTGTCCTGTGGTCGACGCATGACGCATTCTTTGTGGATGTGGTATCTGGCCAATGTTCAGTTCGCACAACCGAACGGAATGTGTTCCCTTGGTCTTGCCCTGAAAACCACGCATGAAAGGCCGATTGCAGCTGTGGTGTTTGCTACCGTTCACTTCTCACAGCCGAACGGCTCGGTGTGCCCTGCGATCGTAGACACACATGTCGCGCCTCTGTGCCG